GGGCAGGGATCCAGGCGGAGAAGATGGCTGGGAAAGTAAATGTCTGCTTAAAATAGAGCCTGGGAAGGGGGCGCGTCGCTCCCTCCACACCGGGCGCACCGGCAGCCGCTCCGCCGGACCCCCCCCGGCAGGGATGGGCAGAGGCAGGCGGCAGGCAGCCGGGGGGAACACGCTGCGCCGTCGGACAGCCCCTCCGGGCGGGCTTGCCCGCAGCGGTCCTGAAGCGGGCAGGGTCAGAACAAGGAGTGGAAGTGCAGCCCTCACCCAGACTACAGCGTACGTCCCACTCACCTGAGGGCAGCGCAACTCGCCTCCCTGTCCGCTCCTCTGAACTTCCAGAGCTGCTTTAGGGTAGTGAAGAAAATTCACCAGTAGTCACTCCCTCCTCTCTCCCTAACAACAACAAACTCATCAAAATCTCCTTCTGTTTAACAGCTGGCACGTAATTTATGTCTATGTTTGGAATAGAAAGGTGAGACCCTACCCCTGGGACAGTTGCAGACACGTTGGTAGTGACAGCCCACCTTGCTTGCTTGTAACAATCCATGTCATCAAATACAGATGGTAGAGAGGACAAGGAATGAAACACCAGGTAACAGGCTCATCCAAGCCCTCCCTTCTTCCAGCCACAGCTGTCCCATCTCCTAAAGACATTGTCACAGCAAGACCATGAAGAGATGACCTTCCCCTCACTGACCACGAGCTGCTGAGAAGCTGCAAGACCCGTGGGGTGAGACCGTGCGGTCAGCAGGCTGTGCTCTGCCCTTCGAGATGAGCTCCTAAGACCCACACCGAGCTCTGGGGCAAAGCTGCCACAGACAACAGCAAGTTTCAGACTCACGTAACACAGCTTTACAACTTGGACAACCTCCCCATCAGTGTTTCTACAAAGAAGAGACATAGAAAAAAAACATACGATATATAAATGCAAGAAAAGCTAAGTATGTATATGCAGCATATAAACTAGAACATAGCTGTAGGCACAGGTGAGAAGGATCAGCTGCCCCCTGTAAAGCTAATTACAAAAGGTCTCAGGTTTATTCAGCCACAGGAAGGAATAGGCACTTTGGTGAGGGATTCCAACACAACTTAGAAGTGCCACTTGGCAGAACTAGTCCTCTAAAGCTTTCTTTTTTTTTTTTTTTAAGTCAGATTTTGAAATTGGCTTAAGTTGGATTTTTTTTTTTTTTTTTTTTTAAGCTAAGCTTTTAGACTACTCAGTCATGCTTTCAAGGTTCTTGCTGCATGATTAAGGGCTGGAAATTCATATTTTCTCAAAGCAAAACCAGAGGTTTTTGGTTTCTGGGTAGACCAAAGCATCTTAAAACACCTTGTAGTAACAGAAGGGAAAGTGTCAAGGCAGCAGTTGCAGCTGCCCATGGTTTTCTATTTCATGGTGTTCCAGGATTTACCAGCCCAAATATGTTGTAACTGCCCTAAGAGGATGCCAAGTTCAGGATCATGTAATCATTTACTTAGCAACTCTTCCCAATTACACTGCAGAGTTGTGAACTGGTAGTACATTTCATTTAAATATTAATAACTTATGCAGATATTGGCATTTAGAAAGCCTTCGTTGACCTCTAACATACCCATATAATCAAGCTTCAGAAAGCACTAACACTGTGTGTGCACAAAGGCACGACGCAGAGCTGGTCTTATTTCTTCATTTTGGCAAAAAAAGTCACATTCTCCCCCGAAAGGCTGAGGCGGCAGCAGAGCCTGCTGCACCCAGCCAGCCCGCAGCCGGCCTGGGGGTGACCTCTAGCGGCCCAGCACTGCTCGCCTCCCTTCCCAATCCGCACCAGTTCACACTGCTTCCCTTCCCAGTCTGCACCACTTCCCGTCTTTCTGCTCTTTTTTTTTTTTTTTTTTTTTTTTTCCTTACCCCCTGGATTTCAATCCACTTTCTATAAGGAGGTACTATAATGAGGATCGCACTTGACCTTGCAATCCTAAATCCTGCAGGTACAGGTCTATGGTGACCAATGAAAGAAATGGTAAAAAGCAGTGTGGTCTTGAAAGGTGTTCTCAGCTCCACAACAGTGCTGTGGCTGCTGCCTACAATCATTTGGGAACAGTAAAGAATAATTAATTGAGAAGTAAGGTCATTTTGCACTTTGCGTCCCAGTATTGCAGACAATAGTTACCCAACAATTGCCTTGAATTCAGAACACAGGTGGTAAAAATACAGCTATTAAAAGCAGGGAAATGGAAGGGAGATGTGGGACCCAAGTACACTCTGCAAGTCGTAGATGACACTTCAGAACTGGCAGAACAGGTAAATTTGCATGGCCACTTAGTTCTAAGATACTAGGTACTGCCACAGAAATGACAAAAAAACCCCCAAGAGTAACACCAAAGAATTGTCTCCATTTCTTCTCCAGACCTTACAGGTCAGAAAAGTTCGAGCACTGCAAATAGTAAAGACAAACTTAATACGATTCATCTCTCCCTCAACAAATCATATTATTTGATGGGATGCTCTGTTGCTATACACATAGGTATAAAAGACAGACTGTGCTGACACACACGAAGTATGGCAAGCTGGTTGTTTATGAAGAAGTAGATTTCAGGAAGAATGCAAGGCTCCACCAATGTTTTGAACCTGGACAAGGCATCTAAAGTGACAATGGTTTAGTAAAAAGACTGGAAGGGAGGAGAAAGAAAACACAGTGCTCAAGATTTCCCTACTGTGCAGCTGACAACTGTTCACTCAAGTCTATAGGTCTTAATTCTTGAAGGGTTATACTTGCTGTTATAGAGCAGGCTGAACAAAGCTAAAGAAAAAAAGCCAAAACCATAAGAGTGCATGAATTAAGACCACTGAAGTGAGCAAATGCTGTTTCAGCCCTCACAACACACTGAACAGAGTCCATCATCTCATTTTTCCTTTGGTTAACTGAAGAAGCAATCCCCCTGAAGAAAGCAGGGTATTTCTCATGCTGCAGACAAGTCTCTAAGGCCTGTTGGACATCCAACAAAAAGTTACCCTTGCTTTACATTTTCAACTAACCAACACTACAGAGATCAGAATAACCTCTTGAAACAATCTTGCTGTGACCATCCAAGTTTTCCTCATCAGGCAGCCTGGTAAGCAAATGTTACATTAACCTAAGAGCATCTGACTACATTAACATCATCAAAGATAGGGCAGGAGGATGCCTGTGCAGCCGATCAGAAATAAAGCCTCTTTAGGCACAAAAAAAATAACAATGCCTCCAACCCAAGAAAAGACAACTCTGTCTCCTGAATTTGCCTAGAGCGGTAATAGTACCAAGAAGAGGACAGGAGATGGTCACTCCTTTATGAAACAAAATCAGAGGCACAAGCGTCCAAAACCACAAGTGTTAACAACCTGCGATCAAAGTGATTTCAAAGAAGCTGAATTACACCAAGTTTCTCACAATAAAAGCTCTCATCACCAAGCAATTGAGAGACTCTTCTCCTCCAACAAACCAAAACAAGAGGATTTTGAAAATGAAGTAGAATTTCCCAAGTGTTAGGTCTCTTACGTATAGGCAGGTACGCTCCAAACACATTCACTCTGTTTACTTCATTATCTATGGCAAGCTTAAATGGTAATGCTTAAGCTGAGCTGTTTGTCCAGCTTAAATAACAAACATTAGCTAAGATGCAAAGAAGTGTTTTTATTGCAAGCACAGTGAGCAGGGAGTGGGCTGCATCTCACATGAGTGTGACTGAGGGCAGATTTAAACCACCCACCCTTCTGTTTTTAGTGCTCATTGCTGTCAGGTGTACATCATTTCTGCCATGTGAGACATTTTCTTTGGAATATACAGGTAATATTCCATGTATCCTGAAAGATCTTCAATAGTCACATCATCCACAAAGGCCCTGGCTTGCTCAGAGCAAGAGCGTGGAGAACTTGAGGGAGTTCTTGATGGCAAAGACTGGGAGTGATCCTCAGAAACTGTTCTTCTATCAGGTGCCAATGGGAGGGTGTTCTGCAAGCCAGAGAATTTGTACACTTCCATATCTTGCCATCGTTTACACTGACAGGCTTTATCTGCACATGCACATGGCTTATTTGTGTTCAGCTTGGACATAGATTGAAAATCAGAAAGCTCCGTAGTCTTTAGGCTTGCTTTGGATACTAGAGAAACGGCAGCTGCAGAGTTCTCCTGTTTGTTCTCTGATGCCAACTGCGTAACAGAAGCTCCCAAAGACTCAACATCAGCTCCCTTCTGGCCAATGTCAGGAGCAATACTGCATCGTTCGTGTGCACAAGCTTCCTTTGGGACTGGCATCCCAAACCCACCGCTGTCGTCCTGGGCATCGATCTGACTCTTGTGCACTAGCTGGTTGCACGTGGAATGTGATTTTGTGCTGCAATGGATAAACTTTGGAGGATGAAGAATTGGAGACTTTGAACGCCTGCGACGCTGGGTTCTTACAACTCCTCTTGAAGGCTTCTTCATAGACCTACCAGGGAAAGATACGAAAGGGAGGGAAGATTTAGTAGAAGACTTACTGCTGGATTACAAATAACATTGGGCAAAATCTCTACTGTGTTTATACTGCATGCAAGAGCTTTAAGCTTAGAGTATTTGCTCAGGATATTCTGCTACCTTGGAATTTGACTTTGTTCTAGTCAAGCAGCTGTATAAAACATAAAAGGAACACCTGAGAAATGAAACCAAAAGTGCATG